ACATGGGCCATCTTAATTGCAGGAGTCCAATCATCAAGATCCTGCACATTCTACCAGCTTTTGAAGCGTTGGGAAGGGCCCACTAAGGCTCCTGTTAACGTCTTCCTCTTTGCATGCTTCTTCTCCACTTTAGGCATGACTAAAACAAAGACAAGACATCAGAGGGGACAAAGGTGCTTTGTCCCACCACACTTTGCTAACTACATGAGCAGAAGGGACCATCCTGGGGAGCCCTTTGGCCAAGGAGCAGCTGGCTCACTTCCCCTTAGGCTGCTTGTGGAGGGGTTATGCTTGTCCTCACCTGCGAGATGTTTGTTTGCAGCACAACAGTATTCACCAGCTGGGGCATAAATCATTCAACAAAACCCTCTGCCACCCCAGGGGCTTCTTATAACTTCCTCTTGCAGCTGCCTTTTTACCTCTCGAGTCCTTCTCATCCCAGATCATTCTCTGCCCCAGCCACCTGCCAAGAGACAGCAGGTCCTTCGGTTGTGGGGCCATGCCTGGGCTTCCTGCAAACCCCTGTCTGGGAGAGGTTGCCAAAAGCGCATAGGCATACACCTGTGCTGGAGATAAGCAGAGGTAAGCACCGAGGGCTTGCTGAGCTGGTCGGTGACACTCAGCCGCTTTACCATTTATCTCTGTGGCCGTGCAAGTGGTTGTGTAAATACAGAGGTCTGATGTTACTTCCCATAGTCTATAATCCCTCTGGACTGAGGCGAGCACCTGTCTCCTATAGGAGCTGTCCTGTCTTGTAGAGCATCTTGCTTACGGAAGCCACCTCTGAAAGGCCACCAGCACCAAGGCTAGCCCTGCTCTGTGCAGAAGGGATGAAATTTTGCCCATTGATTTTTCTTTTGCGTGTGCTAGGACTCGGCTCTCTAGTGTCAGGAATAGCCTGAGTAAGTCTAGAAACCCGTAGCAGCTCCAGGAAGCACAAGTTGTTATTTTTGCCTGTACATTTATCCTCCTCATTTTTTCTCCACTTTATTGCTGGAATCTCGTTTCTTTCCGTGCTCGGAGAAAAGCAGCCCAGCGCTGAAGAATGCCGCTTTTACTGGGCTTGGAGCATTGCTGCTCCACCAAAGGTTTGTGCTGTGGGACTTTGAATGAGTAAAAGGAAAATTTCTCATCGGTAAGAGAGAGACCAACTACTGCTGAAGCAGCCTAAAGCCTCCCCAGGCAGAGGCAGAAAGCCCTTAAATTGACATTCAAAGCTTTGGGGAAGACCCTGATCTCAGGCTTCTGCTCTTCTGTTTGCGGTCGCATAGCTATTGCACGCGTGCCATACCTGTCTTTTGCTCTGACCACTTTCTTTTCCCAGCTTCGTGAAGTTTACAAAGTCATCTTCGTCTTCCCCTGCTCTGGCTGGCATTGCCTCAGTGAGCTAGCCAAACACGGCGGAAACAAACTCAGCTTTCCAAAGGGTAAAACTTGACGCAGGCAGGATCTCATACTCCTTTGGGAGGGAGGTGGCAACAAAAAGCTGGGATTTCAAACACTTGTATTTTACCACAAGTGCCATGTAGCCTGCCTGGTTAGTGCGTCTCCACCGTCACTCTCTGTGCAGTCCGATAGCAATTCCCGACAGAAGCACACAAGCACTGTGGAGCCCCACCAGCGTAAAGAGTGACATGAAGTCCTGTTCTCAACAGAGAAGTGCCCTGAAAACAAATAACCAGCATATCCAGGGTACAGGGAAATAAACAGCAATAACAATATAACTTTATTTAGATTTAATTTGACATTTAGCACAGTAATAAGCACAGAAAGAAAGAAGTACCAAAATACCAAACTCATAGCATATAAAATAATCAAATATATTTCATATTTAGTGAAATATTTCTACAACACATTGGTGAGGCTGCCCTGGGCAGCCCAGCCCTGTAAATATATATATGTGTATATATATATATATATATAGCTGTGTTATATAAAATACTGTATGTAGAGAAAGCACTGAAATTTATCACCAAAATAGAAAATAGCTCAAAATGCGGATAGTTAGTTTTGCTACTCATATCCAATATTGAAAAGAGGTTCAAACCCACTGCAGGAGATAAAGCTCCAGTTTAGATGCCATGGCAGGCGTGAGATGGTGTTACTGGGCACAGACTGGCTAAAGCTGGCCGGGGCCCGGCTTT